GGTATGGGGCAGAGCCTCCTTTCCATCAGCACCACCTGAGGGCCCTGGAAACTGCCTCTGAGATGGAAGAGGACTAGGAGCTGGAGAGAAAAATATCAGGATTGAAGACCTCAGTGGCTGAAGGAAGAGGAAGACAGCACTGGAAATGATCCAGGCAGCCGAAACAGATAGACCCTGTGTAACATTTTTACTGCACGAGGAGGACCATGCCCTAGGAGTCTCTCTGTGATACAGAATCATGAAGAACCGGAAGTTGTCACAAAATGGCCCATCCTTCAGAGAGCAAGTTATGCTTTCAGACTCGAGGTGCTCTTTCAGCTATCAAGCCATTTCAGAAAGGCCTGAATGACCTCTTGAATGTCTGTCAACCTGTGCTTGACAAATTTGAGGCCAGGAGAAAGGACACTAAGAATCAAAAAGCAAGCAGAAATGAATCCAGGGGTGGGGGAGAGGAAAAAAAACTGAATCCACATTTTAGACCCTTCTGTAGGAAATAAGAAGGACTAGTATTATGACCACTCAGAACCCAGAATTAGAAGTTTGTGATTACAGCCCGGTGCTCATATCTGTAATCATAGCTACTTGGAGGCTAAGATCAGGAGGTTTGAGGAGGTTCGAGGCCAGCCCAGGCAAATAGTTGGCAAGACCCCATCTTCAAAATAACCAGAGCAAAATGGACTGGAGTTGTGACTCAAGTGGTAGGGTGCCAACTTTGCAAAGCCCTGACTGAGTTCACCCCAACCCACACCACACCCATGTGCTTCGACATAGCTCAAGTGGTAAGAGTGCCTGCTTATCGAGCATAAGGCCCTGAGTTCAAACCCCAGTACCACCAAAAACAAAAGGATGTGCTTCGAGCTATTGATCCATTACCACTGTTGGAATCCTTGCAAGAACCTGTGTATTTGCCTAATAAATTCCCCCTTTTATCTATTTTTTTTAAAGGAAATTTGTAGCTCACACAGCTGGGAGAGGCACTAAAGTAAAGCCAAGACCCAACATCTTCAATACTCTCTTTGTCCCTACCTGACCTCTGCAGACAGGCTGTAGCCACATGGTGGGGAAGGTGGCCATTTGGTGTCCAAATTCAGGTTTGAAAAAAGGGCTTCTTTCTTTCAACTCAATAGATCTATTTGAGAAGGTTCTGATGGGCTTTGTTTGATCCTGGCAGACCTGGGTCACATGCCTGGTCCTATAGTGAAGGAAGTGGATTGTTTACCAGAAGGGATTTGAAAACCAGGTGGACAAATAAAACAGTAATTATTATGGTACCTGCAATGGGTTCACATGTTGGGGAGGGGTGGCTGGCAGGCAGTATGAGGGGGATGAGCCCTTAAAAATGTGGCTGTCTAGTCATAGATATGATCATTATCAGGTACCCTTTGGCTTCTACCATATGTCAGGCTAAGTAATGTTTTCTACATCATTTCTCTGTCTCACAACAACCCTAAGACAGGTATTATTAGCTCTATTTTCAAGGTGAGGAGAGCTGGGTTATAGCTCAGTGGTAGAGTGCTTGCCCCATGCATGAGGCATTGGGTTCATAGTCTCAGCACTAAAAGAAAAATAAAATAAAATAAAATAAACCTGATCTAGATTCAAGCCAGGGACAGTGGTAAACACCTGTATCCCAGCAACTTGAGAGGCTGAGGCCAGAGAATCTGAGTTTGAGCTCAACCTAGGCAAAAATAAAATAAAATAAAATAGAAATAAAAATATTTAAAAATAAAAAATAAGCCAGGCATGGTGGTACACTCCTGTAATCCCAGCACTCAGGAGGCTGATGGAGAAGGACAGTGAGTTCAAGATTAGCCTGCTACACAGTGAGACTGAAACACTGTCTCAAAAAAAAAAACCCCAAAAGACATAAGTAAACAGATAATAAATAAATAAAAGCAAAGACACTGAGGTTAAGATGTCTCAGGAAGTAAGTAACCCAACCAGCATAAAACTCAGGTCCTTGTGCAGATGTTTTTGTCCAAAGTCAGTCTGCCTCTTCCCAGACCACACTCTGAGCCTGGCAGGTGTGGTGTGGCCTGGGATGTACTCATGGCTTTCATGCCTTTCCCAAGGGCACATTCCTATAGGCCCTTGGAGACAGATAAACCAGGGTCTGTCATACGTGGGCTTCTTCACCAAATGGCAATTCTAAGGCTTGATCCCCTCCCTTTCCCCCCATTGGTGGTAACCCTCCTTGGAATTCTCTAGTCTGGCCTGGTGACTGGAGGAAATGTGGATGGGGTGCTTAGAAGGACACTGGCATGGTAAAAGGTCATGAGGCATCCTCTCGCCTGAACTGCAGAAATAGTTGCAACCCTTAACTGTCCTCCCTACTGCCGCTGCCCCTCCAGCCAGTCTGCATGACACAGCTAGAGGTGTGCTCCTAAAATGCCATCCCTCCTGCATCTCAGCCCTGCTCACACCTTCCCCACTGCCCACACTCCTTGCCCTGCCTCTCAGACTCCTCCGACCTAGCCCCTGCCATCTTCCCCAGCTCTCTCTCACTGTAGACCCCACACTTGGACAGACAAGAGGCTTGGAACAATATAATGGCCACTAGCCACATGCGACTGTATACATTTAAGTTCATTTAAAAGTAATTAAATTATTAACAAATCAGTTCCTCAAAACCTCTCGGGCTCCTGCCTTGGACAACACAATATTTCTATCATCACAGAAAATCCTATTGGACAGCACTGCTCCAGACTTTTCTCTTAACAAAGGAAGCCCTGATTATCAGCTTAAAGGAACCCAGGACAGTCTTGACCTATTTGGTGAATCTTTCAACAAATATTCACTCCCTACAGTAATCAGGGCCTTAAATACACAACAGTAGGCAGGTTGGTCCTGGGTGTGAACAGGCAGTTTTGATGGGGAGGAGATGGAGAGAGCCAGACTGGTGGGGGAGGCTCCCTGGAAAAGGGGACATCTCTGTACCTACTTTATAGGTGAGGAGATGCTAGGCCAGCTATGAGGCATGCTCTTTTCTGCCATCTAGGGCCCTAATTTCATACTGTCCCTACAGCTTGGACTGCTACTCTCTTTTTCCTCAAAGAAGAATGGAGGATAGTTCCTTGAAAAGAGTCTCCCAGATAGGACAAGCAGAGTCCCCATAGGGCCACTAACAAAAACTGAGGCAGTGACCTCATCTTGGGGGCTAGATAAATTCAGAGCTCAGTAAAAACAGGCAGTAGGGCCTTTATATCCTTTTTGGGAGGCCCCTTCAGGGAAATGGAGCCTACAAAGATGGTGGGGGTTGCAGGGTCTGAGTGTAGTGCGCCCTGAGGCCCACCCCAAGATGCCAAGCTCCCCACCCACCCCAAGAAGAGAAGCCACTCCTGACGACGGCCTAGAGGGAGCCGTGCCAGGCTAACAGGGCTGACGGAGAGTCTTGGGGTCTCCGGTCCTCCAGCTTCCGCCAGGGCCTTCCGCTGCTAGTCCCCTCCTCACTCAAGTACGCTCTGGTGTTCATCTACCCGATCCATGCCAGCTCCCTGGCCGCATCTCCTGCCTCTTCCTGGCGCCGGGGCCCGAAGTGGCCTCCCTGTTGGGTCTTTGTCAGTGGCAACTAATTGCCCTGAATTCAGCGCATGTTTGTTTGGAAGAGGGGAGCTAGAGTGCTGCCCAGCAGGCACTTCTTACGTGGAAGGCCTCACTTAACGCCTCCTAACCGGAGGTCGATGATTATGCGGGACAATTATCTCCCCACCTATTACACAGGAGGAAATTACGGCTTGGAGCGCGCAATCTGCCAGAGCCAGCAATGACGAACGCGACCGTGAACGCGCTACAGCCCAGCCTGGACCCCGCCCCGCACTTGGATTTCACCGCGTCCTCGGTGTCCTCCCTCCCCAGCTCCCTAAGGCCACCCGCGCCTCCCTGCCCCGCCAGATTCCGGGGTCGCGGAAGATAGCCGGGGGTGTGGGGGTGCGGGGCGGGGCGGGGCGGGCTGGGCGACCCGGGCTGTCGGTGCCAGCCCCCACGCAAGGCGGCCGCAGAGCTGCCCTTTGTTTCCCGGCGCCCGGGACTTCTGCGGAGTCACGGTCACATGGTGCTTCCGGCACGGGGTGTTCCAGGCGCCGCGCCAGGGCCTGGAGACGCCCCCGCCCCTCGCCGCAGCCTCCCTCACTCGGAGCCCCCCTGCCCCAGCGCGCCCTCCCGGCCCACACCCTGCCGGTCCCGCCGCCTAAACCTCCGGTTCGCGAGGCCTCTCCAAGTCCCCGGCCCCACGCGACATGGCTCGACCACCAGCTGTCTCCTCTGTTCAGCCTTTCCGAGTTTCTTCCCACGGAATGGTCAGCTCCGGTTGTTTCCTGGGGTCCGCTTTCTCCCCTACTCTAGACAATACCAAGTGCTCAAAATCAGGTTTCTCTCTCTCTCCGAGGACCCCTGTACAGTAACTAAGTGGGGATCGAGTTGTTAATGAACTTATTCTCATTTAAAGGGGTAGCAGAGACAGCCTTGAGCCTCTGTGCCAACGAGCAAAACAAAAGAAAAGCCAGCGACTGCCCTGACTTCATCCTTTTGGGCACAGAACATTTAAGGACAAAAGCCCCAACAGGAGTCCCTTTCTGCTGTGGCCTAGCCCATGGTCACTTCTGGCGGGTCTGCACTGTGACACTGGAGAATCATGGAGCCTCCTGGGGACCATCTCAGTTTTTCTTAGCAGATTCAAGAATTCATCCGACAAAATGTTTATTAAAAGTGTGCTGTGCTGATGTGTTGATGAAAGCCTGTGATCCCAACTATTCAGGAGACAGATACAGGAGGATGGCAGTTGGAGGCTAGCCCAGGCAAAGCAGGAGACCCTGTCTGAAAAATAAACTGAAAAGATAAATGAAAATAAAAAGCAAAAGGGCTGGGGGCATGGCTCAAGTGGTTAGAGTGCTTGGTAGCTAATGTGAGGCCCTGAGTTCAATCTCCAGGAAGGGAGGAAAAGAGGGAGGGAGAGAAGAAAGGAAAGGAGGGAAGCAAGGAAGGGGGGAAGGGAGGGAGGGTGAGAGAGAGAGAAAAAGAGAAAGAAAGACAGACAGCAGGGCAACACCATCCCTTAAAGGAAATCAAGAGGTCTTTTCAGATCCCAAGAGAAGGCAACAGATTCCCTTTGCTATCCAAGCAGCATCCTGGAGTCCCTTGCTGCTTGGCTTTCCTGAGAAGGTCAACTTCTTCAGGCTGCTGTATCCCTTCATCCAGGACAATCTGGAGGTCTTATTAGACAGAGCAAACACTGCCATTCTTAAAGCTGGCAGTGTCCCAGTCTTGGAGATGCAGCAGGAAGGGATGGTAGGAAGGGTTCTGGTGTGTATCCGGTAGAGTCCCAGGATCCTTTCTTTCTCTGGGCACCCTTCCCTGTGCCTCTCATCTGGGGCCAGAAGGGACTGGAGTGATGGAGACTGGCAGGAGAGGAGAGGGCAGCCCAAGGTGGTAGCCAGGTGATAAAGGAGCACACTGTGGACCAAAGGTGGTTGTGTAGGTTGCTGCAGCCTCAGGGCTTGGTGGGAAAGAGCAGGCAGGTGAGTTCTCGGCTACCACTGTGTCTGTCCACGAGGGGCAAGGGGTGCCTCACATAGTGCTGGACCATGGCGACCACGGAAGAGAAGAGCTGCACAAAGGAGGAAAGGCATCCGTGAGTCCTTTGAGTTTCACACTGCCAGCAACTTGCTGAGGCAACTGTGTGGCCCAGTGAGAGGGCTTGTGGACATTTTTCTAGATATTTTCCTGCTCGGTTGCCCCATGAAGCTTCATTCTGCTGCCTAAGTCCAAGCCTCTCGCAACTTCCCTGTGACTGCATTGTGGGCATGCTGTTGGTCAGCCTCAGGTTTCCTGGGGCAGATAAAAATATCATTAGGGCTGTGCCTTTTCTCTGGTCCTCTGATGTGAAGAACTGAGTGGTAGGTGACTGATTCTAGTCTGCACTCCAGCAAATGCCAGGTGCAAAGTAGAGTCCTTGGGGCAGTAGGTGGGAGTCTGGACTCTCTGGATCCTGCTCTCCTCCCAGCTGATCTCATTATAGGTACAAATGCTCCCACCTCCACCCTGTACAGACTGAGCCATGGCAGGTGGAACAGGACAGGCTTCTTCTCAAAGTGCCAGGTGTCTGAGATGCAGTTCAGGGCTCAGCCTCTGTCATTTCTACCTACATTGGGAACATGCAGACTATGCTTTCCCTAGACACATACTCTTGGCTAGCGTCAGAACATGGCACTCTATACCCTCCTTGTCTGTTTGGCCCCTTCTTCTTCCAGAACCCACCTCTTTATGGTTCTTGCCCTCTCGACCCAGGGCATAGTGCCGTCCACCATCTACCTGCTGGATGGGAATGTTGAAGACCCGGCCTCGGAGGAACACAGCCAGGGTGAAGGGCTGGGAGCCATGAGGCCCTGCGCTGGGGCGCACTGTGTAAGCCCCATCCTGTGGAGAGACCCCAGCCATAAAACTCATCTTCCAACTACTCAACCCAGCTCTGACCCATGATGTCCAAAACCTCCTTGGGCCTCCTACTTCTGCCAGCTGTCACCCACAGCCTGTGAGCAGGAGAGAAATCAGAGAAGGCCCAGGGTTCCGTGGCTGCCTACCTTTTGGAAGTGGAGTAGAGCTTTCTCAACAGCTTGACGGTCACAGTTCCCTGAGTACCAAGGCTGAGCCAGCAGGCTGCCATCCTACAAACACACACACACACACACACACACACACACACACACACACAGAGAGAGAGAGAGAGAGAGAGAGAGAGAGAGAGAGAGCTCAGAGATGTGTCAGGTGCAGTTATTTGCGTTCATCCATCAGTCCCAGACTGAACCCTATAAGCAGAAGAAAGAGGTGGTGCCCGTTTGCCACAAGGGTGCCTAGGCGAGGACTCACAGACTCTGCTCCCCCCAGCCCTCATCCTCAGCCTGCTTCCAGCTCCTGCTCACCTCAGCAGCTGAGCTGCTCCCAGTGGGGGCTGTTAGAGAAAATGATGGTCTCCTTCCTGTTGAAAGAAGCAGATTATAGAACTGGGGCTGAGGTGGGGTTGGGCAAAGGTTTCCAGGGAGCAAGTTTCAGGGGCAGGAGCAGAGGCAGGGGGTGTATGGAGGCCTGAAGCCCAAATGAGGGCATCCAGTGCTCCCACTATTTTCTAGGTCTGGCACCCTGGTAAGACCTACCAGCCAGGCCTTGTGTGACTTCCAAGTGAGATGTGATCTTGGGGCTCAGATAGGGAGCTTCCCTATTTGGTGCAGACCCTGGAAAATGTTCAAGAAATTCCTTTCAGGCCTGATGGTGGCTGGAGTCAGAGCTGTAGGGACTCCCTCCAGCAAAGTGGACCTGGGGGGCTGGGAGGGAGTCTGTGGCCTGCAAGGCTGAGTTAGGTAGGGGTGAGGTCTTAGCAGGACCTCCTGTATCATGCTGGAGATGCATGTACTTACCTTTAGAGTTGCTATCCACTGTTCCCTGGAAAACAGGAGGTCTGGTGAGAGGAGAGCTGACCCTGCAGGTCCCTGCCCAGGGCCTAAAATCCCACCCTGGGCCTCCCTCTGGCCCCTCACAGCTCACTTCCCCCTTGACCACTAGCCTCTTACATTGTGATCTTCTTGGGGAGCCATGGTGGGCCTGCAGGAAGCAAATTGGGGAACAGAGCTCAGGGTGTTTATCGCCTTCAGGAGAAAGAACCCAGTGAATCCAGAATCCCAAGATGGCCCTGCCACCACCCAAGCAACCCTGAGACAATGCAAGGAGGTCCCATCCCATAGTTAAGGCTGGAGTAGCTTGATGGGTGCTCTCTCCCACTCTCTTGCAGTCTCTTTCTCATGTCAGAGCATGTGCATCTGGTGGAGCACCCACCTGGGCACCACAGATGTCCTTGGCAGAGGAACTGGATACATCAGGGGTTTAGTCAAAGCTGGGGCTGAAATAGAGAAGACAGGCTGGGCTTGGCCTGGTACCAGGCAGGGAAAGTCAGGCTGGTTAGGGAGGGGCTGAGAACAGCTGCCACACCTCTGTGGCCTGGGTTCTGTGGGAGTGCTTCCAACCAGAAGGAGATGCCATCCTGGCCACAGCAGCTGAGAAGCTCCACCTAGCCCTTGGTCTAAGGGGGTAGCCTCCCTAGTAGGTGCTGGGTGGGTCAATCAACCTGGATCAAAGGCAGAAGTGAAGATGTCCCTGTGAGTGTGTATTGCTAAGGATGTGGGAGAGAGAAGGGAGATGGGAACAGAGAATGCATCTGTGCTGTGGGCAGCTGATAGCCTCAGGGACACAATGGTCTGGAAGGAAGGAAGGCACTCACCTGGATCAGGCTCACACTCCACGTAGATGTCCTCATTAGGGTTCTTTGCAGGGCCTGGAAACTAAGGTAGGGAGTGGTGTATGTGACTATGGGTTTGACCAGCCCTAGAGTTCAGTTTAGGACTAGAAGGCCTTTGCCTCAAGCAGTGGAGGGCAGGACAGAGAAGGAGTCATGAATTGGGGGCGGTGTGGCTCTGGGCACCTCACTCTCTTCCTTACCTCCTCTTTTTGGGAGCCAGCATGGATGATTAAAACTGCTCCTCTGCCTGGGAGAGGGCATCCCATCCCATAAGCACCTTCCCCTTCAGAGGCACCCAAGAGGTATCCATCAAGGAATGTCAGTGTCAAGGAAGAGCCCTGGGTTGTACCTTAAGGACAACTGGTTTACACCTGCTCTGGGCCTTTCCCCTGGGCTGCATGGATCTTTCAGGCCTCCCCAGCCCCCCCCAACCCCTGCCAGATTTTAGCCAGAACTCTAACATGTGAGGTAGGGGATAGGGGTGGCTCACCACTCTAGACAGTGCACCCAGCCCTGCAAGGAGAAGGAGAGGGCAGACAGTCAGAGCAGCTGGGAGGAGGGGGCTGGAGTAGGGGTCCTCAGACCCAGCTTTGAAGTCCCAGGAGGAAGGTATCTGCACAACCCTGTGGTGTCACCTGACTTGACTTGCCAGGCGTTGCTCCAGATAACTTTGGACCAGGCCAAACTCAAAGCCACCCTCAAGGTCATGAGAATTTACCAGCTACTGAGCACAGTAAAACAGAATGTGCCTCAGGTCAGCAGTTTGACCTTGGGCTGGGAAAGGCTACCTCTCAGCCTGTTTCAGACAGGAATACTTCCTGAAGTCCTGCCCTGTACTGGCAGCCCAGGGTTCTGGGGGTCTTAATCCTAGGGCACTGACCATACAGGCAGGTCTCAGTCATAGTTTGGATGAAATCAGAGTGGTGGCCCAAGGGTCATCCCCCTTTGATGGAGGATGGGGCTCAGTTGTCTCAATCTGAGGCCCTTCTGACCTCTTCATTCTGAGGTGCCCCTCACCTGACCCAGAGATCACACCCAGTGCAGAACAGGGTTTGGGGGTCAGGGCCTTTCTTTAGTGCCTTTTTGGGCACAGCAGTCCATGTCTCTGGACTCCATCTCCTCATTTATTCACTGGAGGTGATGTGACCTAGACTGCATGCCTGCTTGGCAAGTGAAAAAGGAGGTACAGCCACAAGAATGCAATAGACCTGAAAAGCATGAGCCCAATTCGAGGCAAGCTCAACTGTACCCCAAAGTGGTGGGGACTCCCCTCCCAGGGTGGAGCCTCAGAAGAGAGGAAGTCCCCCATACCTCGCCTCCCAAAGACATGTGCCTGTTTCACAGCCAGCTGCTGGTTCATTGCTGCCTTTACCTGTGGGCACAACGGGGCTGGTAAGGGAGAAGGGAAACTGAGGCAAGGGAAGTACAAGGATGCTAGGATTCCATGGGATAGAGATATGTGTACCTACACAGCTTTAAAAATCACAACAGCATGCAAGGCAATGCACCAAAGGGATCACACTTCTCTCAGCCTCTGCTCTGTAGTCCTTCTTTGTTGTGAATCTCTCCCTGCTTTTCTTTTTATTCCAGTAAAGTATAGAATGAGAGTGGTGGCTTTCAAAGTCCATAACAGGGATCACAGTGGGAATAGGAGCTGGCTCTGACTCTCCTTCACACTCTGGGCAGGGAGGGGTCCTCAAGCCCAGAGTACAGGGGAGGACAGTGGAGCCTGGCCCCCTCCACTGATCAGGTGGAAGAGTCCAGTCAAGTTGATGTGGAAGGGCGAAAGGACCAGCCAGGCAAGTTGGAGCAGCTACAGCCAGTTACATGGCTCTGGCTTCCAATGCATCTGACATTTGAGTTTTACGGGACCTCTTGAATGCAAATGTGGGAGATCTGACAAATGAGATGCCTCGAAGATTTACTCACCGGGACATGGTAGCCTAGGGTGGGGTGAGTTGTCAGGAGGCCTCTTGCAGGGGCTGGCAGTGGCTTGGATGGATCCTGGGAGCCAGAGCAATCTGGAAAAGACCCAGTGTGTTTTGGGTTGGGGGTTGGGAGTTCCTCCTGTGTAGGTTCCCATTTTTCTCCCGCTCCCCAACTAGCTTTCATTTCCTGCTCCCTCCTTTACTCCTCTCTGCTTATTGGCTTCCTGACAGCCCCGTCTCCATGGCAGCCAGAGGCAGCCAGCTTCCCTGCCCCCACCCAGTGGAGCCCAAGAACTGTGAGGTTGGGATGCCCACCAGAGGGGATGTGCTGAGATGTTAGAGGAGGGAAGGAGAGGCCCCAGGGACCTGGTTGGGCCTCCTGTTTTCCTGCTGTTGCCTAGGTTACACTGCCCACCCCCAGGCTCCTCTCCCCTCCTCATTCTCCTTCTTTCTCTTCTCCCTTCCTCCCTCTTTTCCTCTATCCTTCTCTCTGCCCAGTCTAGTGGCCCCAGTGACTGCCAGCTGAGGCCTCTCCTCCCTATTCCTGCACAAGCAAAGGGAGGAAAGATGAGGCCTGAGTTTTCTCCTCTTGTGGTGGCCTCCTGCCCTACCCAGGCCTCAACCACCCTGCCTCCCACTTCCCAGCCCTCACCTAGGTACAAGGAGGCCTCCTCAGTGTCAGAGAGGTGCACAGGGGTCAGACTGAAGGGCAGAGCCCCACAGGGGGGCAGCTCATATTTATCCTCCTCTTCTTCCTCCTCCTGGGCCTTCAAGAAGGGATGCTAGGCACAGGAGAGATGGAGGGCAGAACATGTCCAGGATACTAATGGCTTCTGCCTCCCCCTTCCCAACCCCAGCCTCAGCAGCTGGACTTACCCTGTTTCTCCAGGTCCTTGAAGTAGGCAAGGGAGATGGGGCATCTTCTCTCCAAGCAGGGGCATCTGGACAGACAGACTGACCTCACCTCCTCCCAGCCCATCCTCCTCTAGCACAATACCTTGCTCTCTCCCCAATAAAATAAACCATCTGTACTTGGGAGTGGGCGTCAATCCTTCAACTGGAGCCCATTCATGATGGACATTTCTAGCACTGCAGCAGGGCCAATGAAGTAGGCACTGTGGAGTCAAGGGGGCCTCCTAGCTGCCTGGTCCACCTATGCCAGTGTCCTTCCGGTTCTGCCTGGCATCCCCGATTTTGACCAAGACAGGTGGGAGAGTTAGACCCCAGTAAGCAAGCAGTCCTGGGCTATGGTGGCAGGTGTGTGGAGCCACTTAGGGGAGACCCCACTTGTGGGGGACCCTGGTCTGCTGTGCCCCCTTGGCCCACTGTGTCACTTACCTATGCCTCGGGGAGGTGGAAGGGGTGGTCCCAACCTGCAAGCAGACTCTACTCAACTCTGCCCAGAAGGATCTTAAGTTTGTGTCAGCCAGACACTGCACTCCAGAACATTCACTTCCATAACTGAATGTCCCCCAAGAGTTGTATGACATGGTGGCCCTGGGTCCAGGGCAGCAGGACAAGGAGGTCAGGGCAGAGCATTGGTACATAGGGAAGCTGGGAGTGGGGCAGCCCCAGTGCTGACGGGGTGGAAGCAAATGAATGAGTGCATAGAGGTAGGGGGAGGGGAGATTGGCAGAGCCAGCTCTACACCTAGAACAGTTGTGCCAGCAAAGCAAGGGTGGGGTGAGAGGTGGGGGGACAAGAGAAAAGGGCAGAAGAAAGAGGAGCCCAAGTACTCACCGGGCCTTGGTCCCAATGAGCTTGTCCTGGAAAGAACCAGAAAGCAGGAGAGGGGATGGTCAGTACTGCTGGAATGCCTGTTCCTGCCCAGAGTCCTGGGTCCCTGGGGACAGGCAGGTTTGTGTGCCTAGAGCAGCCCTGGGACCAAGTCTCACCATGGCAAGGGTAGATGAGCTCTGCTTCCCCAGAGCCCAGGATCTGCCACAAAAGGGCTAGGGACAGGGGCCCTATTGTTTCTTATCCCCAGGTATCAATATTATTTGCATCTCCTGAATACCAGGAAGGTGGACCTACATGGCCTCCCACCCCAAATGGACTTCATCCAGGACACTCCCAGGCAGGGCCCAGCCCCAGCTCTCCCTCCCAAGACTGTAGTCTAGCCCCTCTCCCCGCCTTCCCTCCCCCTCCCCTCCAAGGAAGTGGAGCTAAGCTCTGTCAAGGTTAAAAGGCATTCTTCAGCTCTCTGGTCAGTCACCTTTCCAAATTCACATATATTACCTTAAGGGATAGATCTCTTGCAGACACTTTTATTAACCCTTACTCTTACTGGTCTATGACCAAAGAAATAAAGGATAGTGAGAAGCTCAGAGGCTCTCATAGTTAGCAGGACAGCATCAGTTTTTGATGGCTGTGTTTACTCATTCCTTGGGAATTTATCGAACATCCTCTATATAGGAGACACTATTCCAGGTGATGAAGATACTGTAGAAAAACTAAACAGACATTCCACGAATATTTCCTCATTGTTTTTGCAAAGTAACTTTATGATGCAAGTACTAGTTTTATCTCTGCTTTTCAAACAAAAAAAACCAGAGTGTATTAGTTTGGACTTACTATAACAATAGCACAGACTGGCTGGCTTAAACAACAGGCATTTTATTTCCTCACAGTTCTGGAGGATAGAAGCCCAAGATCAAGGTGTCATTGGGGTTGGTTTCTGGTGTGGCCTCTCTTCCTGGCTTGGAGACCGCTGCCTCTCCCCATGTCCTCACATGGCCTCTTGTTTGCTCACGTACAGAGAACAAGCTCTAGTATCACTCCTTCTTCTTATAAAGACACCAGTAGTACCACTGGATTCGGGCCCCACTCTTATGACCCGTTTAACCTTAATTGCCTCCTTAGAGGCCTTACTTCCTGTTACAGCCACATTGGAAACTAGAGATATGTTGAATATGAATTGGGGGTGCGTGTGTGGCACAATTCAGTCTGTAACACTGAGGCTCAAAGAAGTTGAACTTTCCCAAGGTCATACAACTGATAAGTGTTGGAGGTGGGACTCAGCCTGAGCTGACTCGGAATCTGTGTGCTAACCACTGAGCTTCATAATACTTAATCTCAAAGGGAATCTGGACCCTCCTTTCTTACAATGGAATTAGACTCATCAGTATTTGAGGGCTTCCTTAAAGGGTTCAGGACTTCCAGGTGTTCTATCATCCAAGTGAATTTTGGAACACTGGCTTCTGAGAAGAGTTGGAATAAAAGCAAGGGCAGGGTCTGGTGTCTGACTGTTTAAACCAGGAAATGGGGAAACACAGATCATATCATGCATGCTAGAACTTCAAGGGCTCTGTAGTTTTCTTGAGTTTATTATTTTGGTGATACTCTGGCTTTTGGCATAAAGGTGAAATAAAGGTCGGTGCTTATATCTTTGGAGGACGTCAGGCTTGGGGTACTGGAGACAAAGCCCCAGGTTTGAAGCTAGCCAGAACCTTAAGAAAAAAAGACCAGTTGATTCCTGGGACCTGCAGGTAAATGGACCCTTAGGAAGCCACGAAGTGTGGAGTGGTTTAACAGAGAGCCTAGGGGGTACAGTGGGAAAAGTGGACAAA